AATAGCGAGCGAAGAAAAGTCATTCAGAAAGTGACACACACGTGCACAAATGATTCATATATCTATAATTAATATTGTTAGTTAATTAAGATTCTATAAATAAACATTTTATTAATATAGAAGGTTCTGATTTAAAACAATGTCTATCGAATGTAGATTTAGTAACCTCGTTGCAATGTCACGTAATCGCTATTTTGCCGAAATGACAGCGTGGAATTGAAACGGTTTTTAAATTATGAGAAACAATTTAGAAGGTGTTACTTTTGGTTACAATCTTTAAAATATCAGCATTAGCAGCATTATTTGTCTTGTTTTGGTAATTTTCAGTATTCCATATATTTTTATTATATTAAATATTACGTAGAAAGTGGTGAAAAGGTTTTAAATTTATTAAAATGGGAAAATCGTCACGACTCACAACACGACATCAGTGTTGCCAATTCGATATTTTATTTTTGTCCCAAATCACATTGAATAAAAAAAAATGTTGGTCCAAATTAATAAAAAAATGTTGTATCAACTAGAGTAAACGTTTAATATAAAATTCCGCAGGTGGACCGGGTTGTCACCCAAGCCAAGGCCGCGCGCGCTATGCTGCGACCGGTCTTACAATCCAGGCTGCAGCTGCGGACGAAAGTAGGCATTTATAAGACCTACATTCGTTCGCGGCTCACATATGCCGCCCCCGCATGGTACGCACTGTGCTCGGCCTCACAGCGGCGGAGACTGCAGGTCCAACAGAACGCCGCCCTCCGTCTGTGCACAAATGCCGGACGGTACGTCCGTAATGACGTGATCGCCCGCGACCTTAAGGTCCCATCGGTGGAGCAGTTCATCGTCCGGTTGACGCGCGCGGACAGCGGGCGCGAAGCGCACCTGCGCGACCTCGCCCCTCGCCACGTGCGCCCACCGGACGCCACTCGCGCCCACCGGACGCCACTCGCGCGCTCCCGAGCGACTTACTCTCCACCGAGTGATCACGTCATTTACATTTATTTGCAGGTAGTTAAAAAGTTTACAGCCAATCAGAGACAAACATTTCTCGTTGACTCGTCTGTTATGCGCTTAGCCGAGCGCACAAACAAATGAGTCATGCAAAAATGCAAAAATAACTAAAATTCTACCAGAATTGCTAGCACTAAATACTTATGTGTTATTAAAACTATATATTTAACTAAAAAGAAGACAAAAACAGCCAAATGAGACAAAAAATATACTTTAAAATAAATTTAAATGGCAAAAAAATTCATACAAAATATTATTTTTTTACCGAACGATTACTCGCGCGGCTGCAAGTGACCGCGGCTGATTTATTTTTTAGTGGATAGAGAATGACCCTAACTATTATATACCAACGCCATACACCCAACATATTTGTACAATTGAAGAAAAAAAAATAAAACGTGATTCGCTCCATACAAAAAAAATTTTTTTTTTTTCAGACAAACTATCAACTTTAGAAGAAATTTTACAAGAGTAAAAGTTGTCAGGAATATCATAACACGTCAGATAAAAAAAAATCGTATCGATATTGGAACTTTGTTGCCTATGTCCACCAATTTTCAATTTGGGTCCAGTGTGCGCCGTGTGGGAGCGGTGCGATAAAACGTTGACGAGAACCTGTCCGAGCGAATGGCAGCCGCCCTCATATGTCTCAATGTTTTGTTTCTCGATATCTAACCTATAAGGTTGCGATTTATGCTACGAAATTCATAGTTTTCTTAAATTATACTTATATATTTGTGGTTATATTATTATTACATTATTTTAGTAAATACGTATGATATAGACAATAGTTTAAACCAAAAATTAATAACAATTTTAGTATAGTTATAAGTAGGAATGTATAGTTAACTCGAGAATGAGAACTCATTGGTAACAAATTGTTTTCTTGAGAATTCAATAGATAACAGTCAATTTGTTACGTAATATCGTCTTTACGAACTATAACGTGTCAATACCAAGTTTCAGATATTAAATAATGTATATGTGGACAGGGAACAATTCCGTATTTGCTTAACATGTGCTATTATTATCCACAAATCACAAGGCCTTAGTTTTGACAGTCCTCTTCTCAACATATGCTCCTCTATATTTAATAAAGGGCAGCTTTACGTTGGACTCTCCAGAGTTAAAACCTTAGATAGAGTATGTCTTAACAATTTAGATCCAAGTCACGAGAGCTCTATTGTAGAGTACAACCATCTGTGGACGCTATACCGCCCCGATTTGCCCAAAAATTCCTGATTCTGAATTGGCATTGCACTTGAACATTTAAAAGTTACAAGAAAATATAGAAAATAACACAAAAAAAAGACAATTATACCCCGTAAATATACGAAAATACAGTAATTTATCAAAAATAAGTTGCTCGTATAACTTATGTACAAAAAGTAATGATATCCCATCAAAAACATAAATGTGAAATGATAGCCGAGATTAATATTATGATATATGCCTTGATTGTTGACTTCTACGACAAAAGAGGTGAGATCTAAATGGGTGTCAATTTCAATGGTCTGTCCTGAAATGTATTTATAATAATATAAAATATCATTTCTTCTTATAACTTAGGATAATATACTGTAGCCTAAGATCTAACTTGGCTAGTTTTCATATACGAAATATACTGTAGCCTTCGCAAGTTCTAAACATGTTACTTGTCGGTTCCTATTTTATTATTAGTAGTAACTAGCAATCGAAAGTAATAATTGGTATATGAGAAAGAAAGAAAGAAAGAAAAACATTTATTGTCAACCATTATTACATATACAGTCTCAGTGTAAGCGCGATCCGATGTGCACGTATTATAATTATTTTATTTAATATCGTAATTGCTCAGCGCGGCATAAGCCGTGCTAGTCGAAGTTCCAGCCATGTGTGACAAACTTGTGGCCAACGAACTCCTTGCGTTCCTGCAGCAGAAGCTGGACGTAATGGACGAAGTAAGTGCAGTCCAGATCTGTGTGTCCAACTTCAGCCAGGACGACATCGCGAGAGCGAAGGCTCTGCTCTTCGAGTCCCTAAATAAGACTGATCAGATGGTGTCTCGTAGACGTGACGGGACACAAAAAAGCGTACAGGACATTATAACGCTGCTGAAGGAGACCGATCCAGACGACGTGCCGACTTTTGTGGCGAAGGATTTAAACAAACTTCCTCCAGTCACATTTGATCACGTCGATGTTACCAGCCTACTCAAGGATATCGTGTCCTTAAAAAAGAGTTTGGCAGATGTGACGCTACGTTTCAATGCGTCAGAGCACATAATTAGTGAGTTGCGCAAGGAAGTGGACAGTTTGCGCGACTCGCGAAAAGAAACTAGGTCACTTGACGCTACGAACATCAACACGCGCCGTGGGGCATGCCGCGATGCGTTCACGGCGGAGTCAGCGGTTTCGGCGTCGACACTGACGTCACCAGATGTGGTGTCACCGCCGGCCGCCGCGCCCCCCGTGCTCCCCGCCCGCAGCTCGCGAGCGCCGATACCGCTGCATGTGGAAGCAGCGCTAACAAAATCCTCGGTGCAACCACAGCGTCGAGATTTTGCCGCCGTCGTCGCTAGCAAACCGGCTGCTTCAGTACAGCGGCGTGTGCCAAAAACGGCACTGAACATTGACCCTACGTGTGCTGCCACTGGGAACCGCGACGATGATGGCTTCGTCGTGGTACAAAAGAAGAGGCGCACAAACAGGGTCAATAGGAATCATTGTGGCACTGCACTCACTGGGCCCAACTTTCTGCTGCGTGCTGCTACACCGACAACGACAATGTACCTGTCCCGTCTACATTACGCCACTAAGGAGCAGGACATTGTCGATTATATCCGTACCAAGAGTAACCTGACATTGAGGGTGACGCAGCTGAAGTCGAGTCACAACGCGAGTTTCAAAGCGTTTGTGGCCCTGGTCCCTACCGACTTGCTGCCCACCTTCATGAAAGAGGACTACTGGCCGAAAGGTGTGGTGTATCGGCGCTACCGTGGCAGATTGCCGTCTTCAGTGCCGTGATCACACAGACAATATAGTTGTATTGGTTTTTATTATATTATATGTATGTTAGTCTATAAGGTATTTATAATATGGGCCTAGTTGCCTGAAATAAATGAATAAATAAATAAATAAATATACACATTTGACAATTGTACACTTTACACATATATATATATATATATATATACATACACATATGCACACACACACTCATATACATACACATCTTATATTATTTCTAAATATGGTTGGCAACATGGCTGACACTCAGCATATGCCGTGACAGCTAACTGTCACGGCGCTGGTATTCTGTGCCTGCCATTAGTGACAACACGTACAGCTCGATGTCAGTTATTTTGACCTTTGACATCTGTCAGATGTCATTATTGTTACTGACAGCAAAATTTTTACAACGTGTTCGAGACCTGCCACGTACACAATTACAATTTTAAAATTAGTATCAAGGAAGGGAAAACAGAAAAAAAATACAGTTACTAAAATACTACAAGCACAACAGGAAAAAACACAACGCAGAGGGATTATTCTCCGCTACATCAAGCCACCATCCACCGCCGTGCCCATCGTGCAGACCCAAAAGGTAATTTAATTAGACAATTTTTGACTATTAATGAGATGTTCTCTAAGATATTTACTAAAACTATATTTTGTGTTTTTAGCACGTAATGGAGGCGGAATATTATTCCAGCAAGACGTAGCGGAGTATCTGAAAGAGCCCCTGAAAGACGCAGTTCTATATTTTTGAGATGAGAGAAGAGAGATGAAAGGAGGCCCTTGTGCGATAGTTATGACTATCACGAGACCACGACAACTTTTCAACAAGATATGAAGGTTCATTTGTTTTAATGATTCCAAATAAGAGAGTAGCAAAATGTAACTGTCTTCTAAAATTCATCTTCAACATATTTCCTTTGTTGAGATAAGGTGTGACATGTGCACGTGGAGGAACATGATAACAAAAACGTGTACAAGCATTCTGTACACGCTGTATTAAGCGCTCTGATCTTGCAAGAAGACAAGGTCCAAATGTTGCATCTGCATAATTCAACTTTGATAATACAAGAGACTCACACAACTTTATCCTCAATTCCACCGAAAGATATTGTCTAATTTGGTACAAAAGCTTAAGTCGATAAAAACTATTCCTGGTGGCCTCAATTATATGTTTCTCAAAATTCATGTTAGAATCAAAGAGAACTCCTAGATTCCTTGCCTCCGTTACTCTTTCAATAGATTTCCCATTTATAGAAACAGGCAATGTCATATGTTCTATAATACCATTCACCTGTTTCTTTGTACCAAGAATTATATATTTTGATTTGGTTGGATTAAGCACCAGGCAGTTTTTATTTGACCACAGACTAACTCTCTCTAGATCTTCATTTAATTTTCTAATACTGTCCAGTGTATTCTTCGGGTGACAATCAATATACAATTGCAGATCATCTGCATAAAGAGGATATTTGCAATGCTGCATGCAATCAATGATATCAGCACTGTACACAATAAAAAGAATTGGACCAAGAATTGATCCTTGAGGCACTCCTCTGTGTACTGATCTAGGTGCTGAATAATTTCTTGTTCCACAATTTGTTTGAATCTCCACTAGCTGCATTCGTCCAGTGAGATAACTATGGAACCAGGAGACTGCGCAAGAGTCAAATCCATAGTATGACAGTTTTGACAGCAACAGTGATGAATTTATTGTTTCGAAAAACGCGAGAAAAATCTAACAAAGCCAAGACTGTCCCCCTACCCTGATCCTGCTCATTTATTGTATTGTCAATAACATCAAGTAAAGCGGTAGTGGTGCTGTCTGACTTACGGAAACCTGACTGAAATTTTGGGAGTATATTTTCTTTATCTAAATAAGTAGTAAGTTGACGACTTATAGCCCTTTCCAATAACTTGGAAATACAAGGGAGAATATTTATTGGACGAAGATCCTTATATTCAGTCAGATTTGAAGATTTCGGTATTGGTTTTATTAGAGAACACTTCCATAAGTCTGGGAAGATGCCTGAGGTAATTGATTTATTTACTATAGCAGTTATGACACTAAGTGTATACGGTAAAGTGAGCTTGATCATGTCAAGTGAAATAAGATCAGTACCCTGAGCATTGGAATTAAGTGTCCTAATAATATTTATGATATCCTGTTCTGAAACCGTGCTAAACTGAAATACAGATTTACTAAATCGGTTGAATTCATAATATGTAAGTTCAGACAATTCAACAGAATCTCTACCCGGCAAATTCAGGAAATGGCTGTTTAAGGCATCTGGGTTGTCAAATGACTCAGGAATACAGTCCCCACGCATTTTCTTTGGTAGAACAGATGTTTTAAGGTTGGACCATAACTTTTTAGGATTATGAATGTGATTGTTAATGTATTTGTTATAATAGGCAAATTTCTCTGAAACAATGGCTGCCTTTACTACGGCTTTCATGTCTTTATAAAAAAGTTTATGCATTTCTAATTTTGTTTTTTTATACCTTTTATGGCTGTCGTCTCTGATCTTCATCATTTGTTGCAGTGTGTCTGTCAACCATGGAGGAGAAGGATGCTTAATTGTCAGTGTTTTCACTGGAGCATGGAGATCAAATAATCCAAGCATAAAATTATTGAAGGCTACAACCATTTCATTAACATCAGCTAGTCCCTCTATATACTTCCAATCTATGCTGTTGCAATCTTTATTGAATTTTTCTATTATTATATTCTTTAGAGGTCTGTATGTAGTACAGTATGGTACTAGTTTAACTCTATTTAAAGATAGCTCCGCTGATATCAATGCATGAGCACCTAATTCAGGTATATAATTAACTGTCACATTTTTAATTGTAGAAGTATCAGAACAAATTACGTCAATCAATGTTTCACTGTGGTCTGTGAAATGTGTTGGTTCATTTACATATTTATTATGAGATGTGCACTGAAGTAAATTTTGAAAAAGCCTTACTTTGTTGTCATTTTTTAACAAATTTATATTAAAATCTCCCAACAGAAACAAATGGTCAAATCCAGTAAATGTTGAGTTGGTATATACCTATCTCATCAGTGGGATTTTCGCGCCAGTTATGGACTCTGTCAGTGCATCCAGAAAAAGATTGATGTCTTGCCATGGTGGACGGTATGCAGTGCCAATAATGACTGTGGCCGTATTTATTTTAAAACGAATCCACAACTGCTCGACATTCCCATCACCCGGGTGGGGACACACCCTGGCACCTATGTTATTTCGTATATAAAATCCTACCCCCCACCACGTCCTCCGCGCACTGCGTCGGGTCGCGGGGCATGGCGCAAGCGATAATCTGGTACCAACGGCGCACAGGCCTCCTCCCCTCTCTAATCCACGTCTCATTTATTGCCACAATGTCTATAGAATATTGGCCCATGGCGGCTACAAATTCGTCCTGTCGAGTACACAAAGAACCTGCATTGAAAAGTCCCAACTTAATATGACGCGATTTGAACTTTATTTTAAGTTTTGTAGCAATCTATACATACATTGTCCGATATCCATATAATATGTTGCACAAATGCTATGACTTGTTATAAAATGCAGGTAAATATATACTAGATACATTAGACATAACAACCACATGACGTCAATCAACACAGCCGCACATCTACTCCAACAATTGACTAAAAAAATTAACATTATATAAGCCAACATTCCATAGTAATAATTCAGTACACTAAAATATATTTTTCCCCACCCATTCTTCATTATATTACTATACATATTACTACACATACAAAGAATTGTCCATATACTATATTTCATGGTGGTTATTCCTAACTGTTCTTTTACTAACAAATATAAGAGCCAATATATATTTCTACATTCCATGTACATACACATATAAACATTAATAAAATGAACCAAATTACAAGAGCAATGTACACATACTACTTGTGCAAACAATTTATAACTATAGCTTAAACCAAAAAAATAAAGAGAATTTGCTAAATAAGTGTTATACTGATATATATGTCACTATTTATGACTATTTTGTTGTTATTCTACATAATACGAAACGACGATAATATTTTTGGATGCTTTTATTTAGACTTCTGTCAAACAAGTGTATCAGTACAGTTTACCGGATATTGACGTTCGGAAACGTATCGAAATAGATGCGTTCAGAAATCACGATTCATAACACACTCCCGGGGGAGTAATTCGAAATTATACAATTAAGCATCTATTAAATTACACGTTACACAATATATTGAACATTACATACAACTTTCATATGTTTAACATCACTTCTAATAATAATCTATACATAACTAAAAACACATTCTGTACTTTCGAACATTTGTTTCACAATTTAAGCAATTAATCAACTTATTCTAATAACAAATACAAGTACAATGAATATTGACCCTCATGTCATACAATAATTCTTATAATATTAATTAAAATTCAAACATTATACAAAAATGAAATCGGCAGTATTACAAATTCACAGTAAAAGTAAAACTATTATTCCATAAATCTAAATGGTATTTTTATTGCACGACCTGACCTAGTAGTTGAAGGCAGAGGTATAGGTGTAATATAGTTACTTACTTCCTTTTGATGATTCTGTTTATCAGCTCTAGCTGTGGGAATATTGTCCATCCAATCTTGTGAGATAGTAGAAAGCTCTAAAGGATATAATCTTTGATAAGCTCTTACCTTTATTCCAGATGCAGTCTGAACTCTAGCCACTCGGGTGAAGCCATCTTTACCTTTGTAAATTTCTTTTATCAAACCTAACGGCCAATTAAGTCTACTTTTATCTGTTTCTATAAGTACCAATTCTCCTACCTTTGGTTCATGACTATTTCCCTTCTTCTTACTTACTAGTAGTGCTAAATATTCGTTTTTAAATCTTTGTCTAAAATCTTGTCTAAGTTGTTGTAAATATTTATAGCGAACTTGTAGATTACTTTCATCTATTTTGTCGAGGTCTGGTGATTCATTAGTTGGTAGGCTCTGCAGAAACAGCATGGGTGTGAGTGGTTTCAAGTCACCCATCTCTACATATGTCAGTGGTCTACTGTTTATCACTATTTCGCAATCACATAAAATAGTAGACAGTTCTATCCAATCTACTGATGCTTTACCCAGGATACGTTTTAGCATGTCTTTAACAACTCTTATTAAACGTTCCCACCATCCTCCCCACCAAGGAGCTGATGGTACTGTAAATTTCCACTGGATCTTGTATATATTAGAGGTCTCTTCGACTTCTTTCCAGTTGATTTCATTAAGCAGGTTAGCCGCACCCAGGAAATTCGTACCATTATCTGTATAGATGATCTTAACTCTGCCACGTCTGGCGATAAATCGGCGCAAGGCCATTAGAAAACTGTTAGTGGAAAGTGATTCTGTAAGCTCCAGATGTACTGCTCTGTAAACAGCACAAGTGAAAAGTACAATCCAACACTTTTCTTTACTTTTCAGAAATAGCGGCCCTGCAAGATCTATCCCGGTCACCTCAAATGGAGCAGCAGTTTTCAATCGATCTGCCGGCAATGGTGGTTCTGGAACTTGATAGTGTTTAGCTTTGTATCTTTTACAGATAATACACTTTGATACAACATTCTTTACTAACCTTCTAACTCCGGTAATCCAGTATGAGTTTCTTATATCAGTAAGTAAAGTCTGTGTACCTGCATGATTCAACTTTCTGTGACGTTCTTCTACCATTCTCTGTATTATTATATTATTTCTTGGTAGTAAAATAGGGTGTATAAAATCTTTATCTTCTCCACTGTAATCTAATCTTGTTTTAACTTTTACAATCCCTTCTTCTTTTATGGTAGAGAGTTTCTTTTCTATATTACATTTTTCTGAGTAGTTTTCTTTCTGTATCATTTTTATAAGAATTCTTTCAGCATGTAAATATTCTTCATAAGATATATATTTTGAATTCACATTGTATGTTTTTCTAATTCTAGGATGTAGTCTTAATAATTTGGCGACTAACCTTACTATCTTATGGTACTGATTGAAGTATAGCAAGCGATCACTGAAGATCTCTGTAGTTACCTCCACATTAACTGCTACTTTTGTATTCTGTTCACTGCTGATAATTTCTTCTTCTGTTTTTGTGTAATTGATAATGGACTTTGGCCAGTTACTCTGTTCTAGGTACAACCATTTTGGTCCTATCCACCACCTGCTCTCCATCAGTGTCTTCGAGTCGCACCCACGTGAAGGTAAGTCAGCAGGATTGTACATACCAGGTAAGTGTTTCCAATCTTCTCTATTAGTGTTTGTACATATCTCTTTTATTCTATTTGTCACAAAAATTTTCCAGGTATCTTGTCTTTGAATCCATGCCAATACGACAGCTGAATCCGTCCAACAGTAAACTTTGTATTCTTTACATGTTTTAAATAAACCTGATACTAAAATTTCATGATATAGTCTCGATGCCATGAGAGCCCCCATCAACTCCAGTCTTGGTAGTGTCATCTGTCTTTTGATGGGTGCAACTCTGCTCTTAGCTACAATAAGTCGCACTGTAACCTCTCCTTTGTGTTCTGTTCTTAGAAATACACAACCAGAATATGCATCTTTACTTGCATCACAGAAAACATGCACTGTTACATTACATTCCTGCAAAGGGTAATCTGTTATTTTACGTGGTATATTGCACTGCTGAAGATATTTAATTGTACATACCCAATCCTTATATTCTTTTTCTAGTTCTATAGGAATTCTTGAATCCCATCCAGTATTTAATAACCAAGCCTTCTGTATAATGAGTTTAGGCACTAGTGTGACTGGGCACAAGAAACCTATTGGGTCAAATATCTGTTGAGCTATTGATAACAAATCTCTTTTTGTTATACTATTAGGTACAGTTTTTAGATTTAAATTGCAGCTTAAATTATCTCTTTTTCTGTCCCACTGTACGCCTAATACTGAAACTATATCTTCTTCTTGTAAAGAATTGGTCATCCATCCTCTGAGTTCAAATAGAATAGAATAGAATAGAAAATCATTTATTCAAATAAACTTAATTTAAGCACTTTTGAATAGTCATAACAATTTGTTTTTTATCTACCACTCGTTCGGAAAGCTGTCTCATCACAAGAAGAACGAGCAAGAAACTTGTGTGTTGCTCTTTTAAATAATCCTTGTAAGTTTACATTTACAATTCGAAACGTGTGAATACAAACTACCAATCACAATTTTTTTGGGTCAAATATAATCATGCAATAAGATTAAATCAGTCGTAGTGATAAGAGCAGACCAGTCCCTACAAGCAGCACTCGTTCACGAGTATGACGGATGAGCCAGCCATCACTGCGCTCGACCATATTTTAGGGAGCCCATTGACCCGGCCCACCACGCCGCCACATGTCTGGACATTTTAGTGAGCATGACTACTCATTCCACACGACCACGTCACAGCTACAAAAATTACTATATGGTAGTTACAGTATTCGCACTTTACATAAGGATGCATGCGGCAATCAATACAAAAGCCGCTACGCTATCATATATCAAGAAAGCAGTATGAAAATTAAAATTATAACGTTGTCCGCAAATAAACTTATTCTTGCTATATATTGCTATCATCTATAAATTCATCTATCTTATAATAGGCTTTTTTACATAACATTTGTTTAATATAAGATTTGAATTGCCTCTCTGTAAGATTTAGCGTAGACTCTGGCAGTTTATTATAGAATCTTACGCAATTACCATAAAATGAATTACTAACTTTGTGTAGACGGCATTTAGGTAAAATTAGCTTATTTTTATTGCGTAAGTTTCTACTTGTACAGTCTTTAAGTTTCTTGAAACTATCTAAGTTTTTCCTTGTATACATAATATTTTCATAAATGTACTGTGAGGCAACGGTGAGGATATTTGATTGTTTAAAGCATTGACGTAATGACTCTCTAGAACCCATACCATAAATAGAACGTATGGCTCTCTTTTGTAAAATAAATATAGTATTTATATCGGTAGCTTTACCCCATAGCAGTATGCCATATGACATAATGCTATGGAAATAACTAAAATACACAAGTTTTGCCGTCGCCACGTCTGTTAATTGCCTTATCCTTCTAATTGCATAAGCAGCAGAACTAAGTCTACTGGCTAATTTTGAAATATGGGGCCCCCATTGTAACTTCGAGTCCACTGTTATTCCTAAAAAAACTGTATCATTAACAAAATTTACTATTTCATCATTAAGCAATAGCTGCGTATTTACTTGTTTTACATTAGGCAGCGTGAATTTAATGCACTTAGTTTTGTTGGAGTTCAATAATAGATTATTACATGTGAACCAATTTAGTATAGCAGAGATAGCATAATTTACATCGTCTAATTGATTACATTGGCGACCAATTTTAAACACTAACGAAGTATCATCCGCAAATAACACTATATCTGCAACTTTCTCTACCATGTAGGGAAGGTCATTTATATAAATTAAAAAGAGAAATGGGCCTAATATTGAACCTTGAGGAACGCCCATTTTTATATTAGTTCCCTTAGACTTTACACCATCAATATCTACAGTTTGCACCCTATCCTCTAGATAAGTTTTCATTAGACTTAGGTCATTATCTCTAATACCATAATATTTGAGCTTGTACAAAAGTGTTTCATGATCTACGCAATCAAAAGCCTTCGACAAGTCACAAAAAACGCCGAGAGCATCCTGTGAGTTTTCCCATGATTCGAATATATGTGTAATAAGCGCTACACCTGCATCAGTAGTAGACTTGCCGGCAGTGAAACCATATTGCTGACTGTGAAGCAGTCCGTTATCCCTGAAGTATTTTAACATTTGGTTAAACATAATCTTTTCAAATACTTTACTTAGAACTGGCAAAATAGAAATTGGTCTATAGTTGCCTAGCTCAAATCTATCTCCAGATTTAAAGAGTGGAATTAATTTGCTAAATTTCATTAATTGAGGAAACACGCCATTATCAACACATTTATTGAAAATAGTAGCTAGATAAGGAGCAACAATATCTATGAATGTACTAACTACTTTAACTGACATGTCCCAGAGATCTTCCGTATTTTTTAAATTTAACTGTTTGAATATTTTTATGACATGAAAAGGGCTGACATGTGAAAATTTAAATGTTAAAGAGCAAGGGCTGACATTAGCCTCCAGTAATGTTTTTGCTCGAATTGGAGATGAGTCTAGAGAAGATGTAATATCAAACGGAATATTAGCAAAAAAATCTTGAAAAATATGAACTATATCTTTTGTTGCTGTTATTAACTTATTGTCATAATTTAATGAGAATTGATTGCAGGCTTTTTCAGACCGTCCAGTTTCTTTGTTTATAATTCCCCAGATGGTCTTAATTTTGTCAGAAGACTGATTAATTTGTTTATTTATAAAATTAGATTTAGCTGCAATACAAACTTGTTTGAAAATTTTAGAGTAATTTCTCACATAAGTTGTAAATTTGTCATCAAATCTATATTTTTTTTGATCATATAAATCAAATAAAATGTTTCTACTTTTAAGTATTCCTACTGTTGCCCATTCTGTAAATCTAGATTTAACACAATATTCTCTTTTCTTGAAAATATTCTGGTATTCTTTTGACAAAAGACTAATTAACTTGGTGTAAAGAATATCAGGATTATTAAGACTGACAGATTGTAACTCTAAGTCTAATTTATATTTAACCGTGCTTTTGTATTTATTAATATTGTAAGCATTTATTTGTCTTTTTGATCTTTTATTATTGGTATTTTTTTTAGTCTGATTACTAAACTTAACAACTTGACCACAGTGATCCGAAGGAAGTTTATTTATTATTATTTTTTCAATATACTCACAGTTACAAAAAACATTGTCAAGACAAGTAGCAGTCGTAGCGGTTACACGAGTGGGTTCCTGAAAGACATTACTCAAATTAAAAGACTGAAATAAACTAATAATTTTTATACATGTGGGTGTATCACAAAGAATATCAACGTTAAAATCACCACACACAATGATTTTTTTACTGCTATTAAATACTTTTTTTAATATATCCTCCATCACCTCTTCAAATACATTATAATCACTATTAGGAGGCCTATAAACACATATAAGTATATAATTATCTAGTTCTATACATGAGATTTCTGTACAACACTCAATAGAAAGTCTAACAATGTCAGCACGTTCCTTTACTTTAATATTATTTCTTGCAATTATCATAGACCCACCTCTGTTAACTGACTTTCTATTGAAGCAGCTGACAACATTATAATTATTTAAACTGAACATCATATTGCTTTCTTTAAGCCAATGTTCAGTGAAACAGATAATGTCAATATTGTATTTTTCCAAAAATAATTGTATAATTAATTCACTGCCGGGAAAACTTTGTATGTTCTGATGAACAATTACCAATTCTAATTGCTTTCCCTTTGTCTTTGTTAGCAGTTTAAATCTGCAGTCAAATTACTTATATCACTACTTAAACAAAAATTAATAGAATCATTTGTTATGTCACAATTTTTATATTGAAGTTTACCATGTAAAGTGTTCATGAAGTCAATATTATAAGCCACTAAAGTGGCTATTTTATTCTTAGAAGATTTAGAAAGATACATTGTATCTTTTGTCAAATAAAAATCACTAATAAAACTATTAGTGTCAAAAAATGTAAAAACGTCACTATGACGACATGTCAATGTATGTAATAAATTATTAAGGTAATGTACCTTATTGTTAATTTTTTTATGATAATGGCTACTTGTATAAGGAAGAGCGCACAATACAATCTTATATACATTCAATTGTAACAAATATTGAATACCTTTAATTATATCCTGTCTATTTAATTTAAAACTATTACCAAATTTTCCTTTCTCCATGAGTTCTGTTGATTGTTTAATAAAATTATAAACCTCTTCTTTGGTATTGAAACTAGTCACACAATTGTCAACATAGAAAGATTCTCTTAATCTTAGAGCTGCCTCTGGGTAAGTATTTGAAAATCTTTTCAGATGGTGGTCTATAGTATTTGCCAACAGAAAGGGACTACATGCGACACCAAAAGGTACTCGAGCATGTTGATATGTACAGACCTGATCTTTGGTTTCTGGATTATTCCACCACAAGAACTTCAAATATTTTCTATCTTCAGGTGAGACAGATATCTGTAAAAATGCTCTTCGTATGTCAGATATAACTCCATAAGTTCCAACTCTAAACAAATGTAATAATTTTGGAATGAGTTCTATTAGGTTTGTTCCTTTCTCTATGCACATGTTCAGTGATAATCCATTTCTATCCTTAGAAGAAGCATCAAAGACGGGTCTTATTGTTGTGGTACTCCCCAACTTAATAACTGCATGATGTGGTAGATAGTGTCCTTCCTTTTCCTCATCTTCAAGTTTTTCTATAATACCTTCCTTTTCCCAATCTCTAAAGATGTTATGATAGTCATTAAGCTTTCCTGTCGACCACAATTTCTTTGTGCAACTGTTTAATCGTTTTTGTGCTACTTCATAGTTTGACATTACTTTAGGATACCCTTCTTTCCACAGTAAAGGCACCTCATAACGTCCTTCTTGATTGACTGAAATGTTAGTACATATATCATTTTTCTTTTTATTATAAGGATCTGTTATACCTAATGTTTCTATATTCCATAAGAACTCTAAAGAATTATCTATATCTGGTATTGCTGTTACAAAATTTGTGTGGACTACCTTTCTTAATCCATGGGATGTCTGTAATGGTCCTTGTAAGGTCCACCCAAGTTTTGTTTTAATAGCCACAAGGTTGTCAGTGACATGCACAAGGTTATTATCTAATATACAGCCTAGGTAGTCAGAACCAATTAGTATATCTATATCCCTTAAAGTAGCCACATCCCTATCAGCATCAGTTAGATAGATATGAAGATTCTTTAGCTTGTCAATCAGACCTGTATCTTCTACCTTTGGCAGGTAGCCACATAGTACATCTTCTTCGAGGCCTGTCATTCTAGTTGTGTATGTATTGTCCAAATTACTTACTTGAAAGTTAAAAACTCTGTGAGTACGCGTCGCCTTTTTGGTACCACCAAATAGTGAGTGCGATAATGTCTCCCGTTTTGTTACCTGCAGGTCAAGCTCTTCTGCCAGTCTGGACCTTACATATGTTCTCTGTGATCCAGAGTCAAGCAATGCTCTTACAGCCTTTTCTTTATTTTGACCTGAAATTTTAATAATTATAGTTTGTAACAAAGTTGTCGCGCTACCCCCAGAGAAACTATTGACAATCTCTGTCTTCTTTGCCTCTGATTTACAGTTATATAACTGTTCATGTATAATTGGACATAAGACAAGTAGATGTCGCTTACTACAATACATACACTTTATAAATGCTTTACAATTCTTGGAAAGGTGTCCCCTTTTTAAACATATATAGCACCCTCCCTTTTGTTTAATTGCATCTTTCTTTTCTGTTAAATTTAAGGTATTACTTTTACTACATTCTAACGTACTATGTAATTTATTACAAAAATAACATTGTTCTTTACCTTCTTTTGCAGGATATCTCTCTTCACTCTTCTCCTTTGCCTGCTTACTTACCGCCACTAAACAACCTGCTGTTGGAACCACTTCAGATGAATCATTAAAAAAGGTTTTGGCTATAATTACCCTACTCTCTGCCTCAACTTCAGTTTTTAAGTAGTGCAGTAAATTACTGAGCCTAGATTCCCCCACTTTATTTGGAACCCTACCCCATGCTAACAAGAGATTCTCAGGAAGAGCAGACTCTATCATAGGTAAAAGAATACATTCATATTTATCTTTTGATATGCCTAAGGATTCTAAAATTTGTAAGTTAGCTACAATTTTGTCATAGAGACAATCAATTGATACAGAATTTTTTGTACTAACGAGTAAAAGTAGTTCTCGGACATAGATTTCAATTAATATATCTTCTTTTGCAAATCGGTCTTTTAGTGTCTTCACTGCTATATTGTAATTTTCTTTTGTTGGTGGGTAACTTTCGACAAAACTTTTCGCCTTACTGTTATTTTTCATAGCCTGTATCAGATACTGGAATTTTGTTTCTGAATCTATATTTGCGTCTTCATGTATTTTCTTGAACTGGCTCCAAAACCCTAACCAGGACTTAGGGTTATCATCAAATTGTACAAGCTCTAACTTTGGTAATTTTAGGTTACTTCTATTTGTTTTTGTGGTATCCTCTCCATCCTGATTGTTTAGCCTGTTTTTCAATTGATACCATCTTTTTCTATAATTATCGCAAATGTCGCACTCGTTTTGATACTTCGTTTCTTCAAAGCCTTCAGCGTTTAACATTTCATTTTGAATGGCTTTGTCTAATGATGACAGCTTGTCCATCTTCTCACTCAGGAACTCAAGATCGACTGTGTTAACTGCCGTTGTTTCGTGACGGCTAAAAACACGACGAATTTGCTCGCGTTCCCTCGTTAGTTTTAAAAGATCCATCCTGAATCGAGTCGTATTTGTATTTTTATATTTAAACAAATGCGGTCGCAACTCTCTTGGTTGTATTGTGGATTTGAGTACTTACGATCGCCGTCAAACCAGTAATATGCGGTCGTATCTGGATACCACTTTTCTTCCCTGAGATTGCAGTCGCGGTCATTTATCTGTTTTCGTTCTATAAGGCACTGGATTGTTTGAAAATATGAACTTTTAACTAAACTTTCTTTGTTATCAATGGTCGCCACGTGGTTATTACGAGACGATGGCAGCGGATTTTATTTTATTAATTAATATACTTTCTGAAGGTTATACAGTTCTTTATATTATCACGGTCGCCACTATGTCACTATTTATGACTATTTTGTTGTTATTCTACATAATACGAAACGACGATAATATTTTTGGATGCTTTTATTTAGACTTCTGTCAAACAAGTGTATCAGTACAGTTTACCGGATATTGACGTTCGGAAACGTATCGAAATAGATGCGTTCAGAAATCACGATTCATAACAATATACTTATCATTACTATTTGTACACAAATACAGGGATCACAGCACCCATTGCCTAACACTATACAATTATTCCTACATTTGCTAATTCTTTGATTATAAATAATAACTATATTAAAATGCAACCTATACTTTATTATTAGGACTAACCACTTCACTGCCAAAAACCTGAATAATGTCTGTTTCAAGTTTTAGTCTATGCGCTATACCGTCCTGGCTCCTGCGTGCAAAAATCTTTCCATTTCTTGTCCATATATACCTCCAGCCCTTTTCACGACCTTCTTCTCACGGGCTTCTCGGGACTTGTAGAACAGATTTCTATTGTATCGAGTAAGTCTTTCATTGATATAGACTCTATGTGCCTCTCTCGATACTTCCAGGTCTAGTGTCGTAATTCCTCGCCTTACTCGAGCGCTTTGGAGCAGTCGGTCCCGCAATGAGCGTCGGGCGAACGTAACAACTAGAGGGCGCGGGCGGCCGGACGCCTGCTCGCCCCCCGCCGCGCGGCGCCCCCCACTCGGGACACGGATACTATGTCGCGCTCCTCCAGCGGCATACCCAGCTTGGCTGCTACCACCGATGCTATGTGATACGGATTTTCTCCCTGTATCTCCGGTATGTTCACTATCTCAACATCGTTTGAGAGTAACTCCTGGTCTCGTTCATTTAACTGGGATTGTAACGAATGTACCACTTCCTCTAGCTCAGCTGTGCGGCCCACACCAGCCTCCGAAACCTTTTGCTCTACGACGTCTAGCCTTCGCTCCATGTTGTCTATTCGAGTGTTACAGGCGGCGACCGAAGCTCTGTATTCTGCCATTTCCTGACGAAGAACTTTCATTTCTTCTCGCACACATTTCAGCTCACTTCTAAAATCTTTAATTTCCAGTGCCAGCTCTATTTTAAACTCCTCCGTGGTATTCAACGCCATCGATTCATCATCCGCCACATTCTGCCTCTCACGCTTGTCCATGGTATATGTGCTGCTCATACTCTTTACAGGTGTTTCGGATGAGTTATCTCTAGGCATGTTCATTGAGCACCCAGGACAAATCTAGCCAGGTCTAAGTTTAGCTAAGTTTGCAAGCCCCAAACAAGCTGCGTGGTAAATATTTTTACATTTAGTGCATACAGCACCATCTGCCGGTGAGAGGAACTTTCCACAAGCACCACAATTTACAACCATTCTTCTGTTTCAAATAAAGTAGATCGCTACTTGTTGATGTTAACGCGTGTCAACAGATGGCACTGTTATCGATCGATACTTGTTGATGTGAACGGGTGTCAAAAGATGGCGCTGATAACTATTTACTTAGTATTGTAATGCACTGAATTTTTCAAATATACCGTCACCAACGAATTTCCAGATCGCCACTATCACAACATATTATTATTAGATAACACTCAATATTAAGTATTGTATCACTGCTATTAAAATAAACAAATTTTCACAACAATTATAACTATATTTTTATTTTTAACAAATAATTTGACGTAACGATGTACTGTACATCAAGACGTCCGTGACGTCACTCTGGTCTGGAGAACTGGCCAAGTCAGATCTTAGGCTACAGTATATTATCCTAAGTTATAAGAAGAAATGATATTTTATATTGTTATAAATACATTTCAGGACAGACCATTGAACTTGGCACCCATTTAGATCTCACCTCTTTTGTCGTAGAAGTCAACAATCAAGGCATATATCATAATATTAAACTCTGCTATCATTTCACATTTGTTTTTGATGGGAGTTTCAACTCATCAATCCATATTTACAGACGGTTCTAAAAATGAATCGAGAACATCCTTTGCTCTATACTTACCAAGTATCAGAACCGGTCATGGAACTAGAATACATAAAGAATTTAGTATTTTTTCAGCAGAACCTTTGGCTATTTTAAATGCACTTTGTTATATAAAAGATGATAGGGGCAATTGCAAAAAATGGTTAATTGTCACAGACAGTATGAGTGTTTTAACTGCTCTTCACAGTAACAAACACGTTATAAAACCAATTATATCATAGATGACATTAAGCAATTATTATATGAGCTCTCATTGGAGTGTTATGATATTATTTTATTATGGACTCCATCACATATTGGTGTTTTCGGCAATGAAAACGCAGATTTCCTGGCAAGAACTATCACCAAGAATGAATAACATTGGCGTTGTCAAGGATGTTGCCATACCTATTCCGACATTCTTTCTATAGTTTACAAGAGTTTTCGTCAAAAATGGGTTGAACAGTGGCAACTTTCGCTAAAGACCAATGGTAATTGGTTTTACTCCATTAACAAAAATATTAATTCCTCACTAAATCTAGAGTTTATAAAAACCGGAAATTTTACACACTCTTTATACGACTTCGTTTTGGTCACGCTAGATTCAATAGTCATTTGTGTCGAATGAAAATAATTGATTCAAATACATGTCAAGAGTGCAATAACAGCAGTCAGACCCTAAATCACATATTTTTCGAATGTTCCACTTAAAATATTTAACGCTTGGTCTTTATTGATAATTTACTGAACATTTACAAGAAACCGGAAAAAATCCCGCGTGACATCCAAGACATGCTATCTAATTTTGAAACATATACATATACCTATATATTTATACGTTACCTATATAGAGGTAATAAATAAAACGATAAAACTTTAAATAATTGATACAAGGATATGGACTATGGATAAGACTTAAATTTTGAACACGAATGAAAACATAATGAATAAACACATAAGAATTGGCCTTTGGCCTCATCACTTGTTCAAATATGAGGAAGTTTAAACATAGACTAGGCTGTACGGTCTAAGGATCTTTGCCTGTTCCATCACTGAAAAGGAGATGGACGAATATGGAAAAAAAAATGAAAAGATGGCGACTACGGTTTGTTTGTCAGTGTCATTAAACTTTTAGGAATTTTTTTTTTTTTATTTATTTAGGTCACCAACAAGGTTTACACCAACACTGTTACATTATATATATTACATTACAATCTATTTATACTAAGCGCAACCTTAATTATAGGCAACTACGACATTTATGTGACAAATTTGTGCTTACAATTAACAATTAACAAAACATAAAAAACAACTTAAAATTCTACCTATATAAAACCTGTACTGATTCAACTAGAACTTATAATACTATTGAGACATCTGCGAAATTTGCAATAACTATTATAAGTTCTCATTAGCCTGTTTAAAGGTGAGTAGAAGCCCAAATTACTTCGTGCGAGATTTTCTATAAATATATTATATTTACCAGGTCTAGGGAGTTTAGGTGGTATTCGAATATTAATTTTATACAGCAACTCTGAACAGTTCAATATGCCATTCCCTAATTTCCAAAGAAACATAATATCTAGTACTTGTCTTCTATCAGTTAGAGGGTTCAATTTAAAGTATTTAAGTCTGTCTGAGTAGTGCGGCAACTTCCTCGTTAGGTTACAGCTATAAGTTAAATGCCAAAGAAACCTCTTTTGAACCCTTTCGAGCCGCTTAGTATAAATATCATAGTGTGGATTCCAAGCTACGCTGCAGTACTCAAGGTGTGACCGAACAAACGCGTTATATAGACAATTTTTTGTCTGTGGGTTTTTAAACTCCTTACTATTGCGAAGCAAAAAACCAAGCATTTTATTAGACTTATTAGCAATATTATCGATGTGTACATTGAATCTTAGTTTATAGTCAAGAATAATACCCAAATCCCTGATAGTGCTCACATTGTTAAGATCAGTTCCATTTATATTATATTTGTATGTATTTATATCTGTTTTCCTACTAAACTGAACATAGCAACACTTATCAATATTAAGTTCCATACCATTATGCTCACACCAATCAACCAACCTATCCAAATCTGCTTGTAGTAGTTCATTATCAGCAGTAGACTGAATTTTTTTCATTAATTTGAGATCATCAGCAAAAAGATAGCATTCCGAATGATGAAAACTTTTTACCACGTCATTAATGAAAACATTGAAGAGTAAAGGGCCTAAGTGAGAGCCCTGTGGTACGCCAGAGATAGTCAAGGGGTCAGATATGTAGCCACTTACTACAACAAGAGACAGTCTTTCTGTAAGGTAAGAACTAAACCAATTTAGTAAACTATTACATATACCATAGTGCTCAAGTTTCCTTAGCAAAACAAAATGTTGAACGCGATCAAAAGCCTTACTGAAATCCGTATAAATTACATCACAGTTATAGCGAGCATCTACTGACAAGCTTAGATCTTCGACAAAGGAAACGAGATTAGTAGCTGTGGATCTCGTTTTAATAAATCCATGTTGTTTATTGGAAAATATATGATTAAAATGAGACAACAATACTGGGCACAATACTTGCTCAAAAACTTTAGCAAAAACAGTCAAGATGGAAATTGGTCTATAGTTATTGACTAGATGATCTGGACCATTCTTGTGTATCGGTACTATTAATGAAGTTTTCCAGACCTTGGGGAATACACCATCAGCT